AAAATACGGTAGTAAACTTACGGTAATTTCGAATACACTTGCCTCTGGAGTGAGGAAGATATGGCTCAAAAGGTAACTGATAGTTACTCACAGGCGCGAGGTCATACCTGTGGTTACTAGTTTCAAGGGATATCTGGAAAAGGGATACCTGTACTTTTTTAAGGTTCTAAAAAAGTACCGTTTCAAAACCAGACATTTCATTCTTAATGTTTTTATTGTGTTTTAGATCATTTTTGATACAATATCGAAAAAACTTATGGAGTAAAGTTTTGTTTCTATATGGACCAGATTATTTCATGCTGTCAGCTTTTCCCCTATTTTTACATGCCACTGTCAAATTTATTTTTCCTGCTTACCAAGAAGAAAGTCAACAGTTTGGGAATTAATGGCATAAATAGTAGTTTACAAACAATTTTTTTTTTAAAAATGCATGTAAAGAACCCAAAAGAGGAGCCAATTGTGCATTATCAACCACAATGCATGCACATCCAGCAGGTGGGTTTATCCCTGTAACAGTAAAACACTAGGTAGCCATATGACCTGCTCTTGGTTGAATATTTCTGGATCTTCAGCCTAGAGAGTGAAAGCTTTTCATCCTTGTTCCTGCCTTTAGCTAAAAGAAAACATTAACGCAGCCCAACAATGTTTGGTGCTGGAACAAATCTTCTGTTTTTCTAGGCTGTTTTGCATCAAAAGTCAGTAAAGCATATCAAGCTGTTAGCCGATTTATTTTGGTGTACTAGTGAGAGAGAATGATGGCATCTGTATCAGCAGGTGTTAAACGCTGTCCAGCTTTGAACCCTGTTTAAGCGTTTACATATGGATCAGATCTTATAATTACCAACCCAGGTTGTTCTCAGTTTGTGGTCTTCTTCTGGAATATTTACAGCATGGAAGGACTGCACCTCAGCATGGTGCCAGGGCTTTAAGTACATGCAGGATATCAGTGCAGATGTAGGTTCCTGTGTCCAGCTTTCAAAAAACTAGGAAAAGGGGGATGTGGAGAGATTTTGATGTCCCTCATTTAATGCAAGAACAATCAACATTTTTGCAAAAGGCAATGATGGCAATAATGATGGTAACTTTGAGTTATTTATCAATTCAAATAAAAATAACAAAATATATTATACATTTTGATTCAATCTGAAACAATTTTTTGTTTTTAGATCAATTTAGACTTATTACTTGTTATATATATATCTATAGATATATATCTATATATATATATAGATATATATCTATATATATATATATATCGATTCCCGGCCCTGGGTCTTTCTGCATGGAGTTTGCATGCTCTCCTCGTACATGGGTGGGTTCTCTCTGGGTACTCCTGCTTCCTCCCACAGTCCAAAAACTGGCCCGACTGTGACCCTGACAAGGACTAAGCAGGAGAAAAAGGCTTCTTTAAACTCAAATTAATCCTTGTAATTTTTTTTATTGTTTTCAATTTGATAGACTGAGGCTAATAGCAAACAACAACCGGATTTTTTTTTTTTTTTGATAACCAGAATATTGCCAAAAATGCTATAAAATTAGTAATTTTTTTCAATTATGCTGCATTATTTGTAAAGTTTTCTGAGATTAGTAGCTTCTGATTTCCAGCTTGATTTAAAATTATCTCAATGTCAGGTTTTAATGAGACAGCATAGCTGCAGATGACGGGAGTTAACTTTTCTTTTGCAAAAGCCTGGGCTGTACTTATAGTGATCTAATACCTCCACCATCCCTAGACACAGCTCTGCTCATCTCCAGAAAAAACACTTTTGCCTTTTCTGCAAAGTGCTTGTTTCATTTTGCTGATCTCGTCTCTGACCTCTGAATCCCCCTGATAGAAGAAAAATAGTTGAACATGTATAGTAAAAACAAACACAGTGATATGCTTAATAAAGACACTGGGAGTGGAGAGGAGGAGCTCTGGTTTTGCTTAAGCTGCTGCATTGGCTGTCTGCTCTGCAGTGGGGAGGGGCTGAGAGAGAGGCAGAGAGAAAGGGAGACTCTTGAGGAGGAGGGAAGAGCTCTTGTTGGATGATAGGGAATGCCCGTTAGTTGCGTCTGCCGATAATAGCACATCAGCCAGTGCGCTGCTATTGGGGGAGCAGAGCACAGGCAGCACGGAGGACTGAGCTGCTGAGCGCAGAATGGTACACTAGAGGAGACAATCAGAGACAGAGCACGTGAAGAGAGAGTGCATCTGCACATTTAAAGAAGAGGAGCACTGAGGAGGAGCAGGAAAGAAGGAAGAGGAGAGGAGCAGGAGGAGGATAAAAGTTACCTGGTCAGCAAAAGATCATAGAGCAGCTGAGACTGAGTGGGTCTCAGTCCCACTGGAGGAGCCAAGCACATCAATGAGCACAGCAGGAGGAGAGTGATATTACAGGAGGGTGGGGGGGCTGTAACTTCTTCTCAGAATTACAGTCCTGTCATAAGGCAAGGGTAATGCTCCTAACAGGACCTGGCTGCACAGCTTACTTCAGGATTATCACAGGAAGGCAGCAGCTTTAAGCAAAGGACTCTTACTGTAAACCTGCCAAAGTGCCTGTGCTGTTCCATTCAACTCTTTTCTGCACAGGTGACTTCTTGGGAGTGGATGTAGTTGTGTGCCTTTGTCTTTTCTTCAAAAGTGTGAGGTTTGAAGGCCAAGGTGTTCTGTCATCTCTGGGACTATGTTAGACTGTGCATCAGAGAACCCCTCATCATCAGCAGCAGCTCTAGAGCATGGAGAAGTCCAGCAGTGAGGAGTCAGCCATTCACCGTAGTCCATCTGTAGACAGCCGTGATTCGGATTTTCCTCAAGCCTCCACGTCTGGCCGCCCGTTTGGCGGCCGTGGCTTCACTGCTGGTGCTTTCTACGGCTCCACGGGGCCACGCAAAAACCCACAGCAGGGACAGGCTGGTGCAGCAGCTGACACCGGCGTGGGAGACAAGACCAACAACAAGTACAGCTCACCCAAAGGCAGCAAATACGTAGTCTTTTACCTGGATCTATCCTTTGTGTTCCTTTTAGAATTCAAGAAGTGCAACATGGCGAGAGGCTGCTTGTGCTGCTTGAAGTATTTGATGTTCGTCTTCAATCTCATCTTCTGGGTAAGTGGCTCATCATTTCTTAATGTTTGTCTTGGCATGCTTGCTCATATTGATCCTGTTGACATTCATGCTGACGAAGGAAATATGCCAGTAGGGATTTATTACGACTAAAAACGTGAAAGCACAATGGTAATTCAGAATGTTAATCAGGGGACATTCATGTATGACAAAATGTTGGCTGTCAGGGTGACCATGCGTTTCTAATTACATCAGGGTCTTTATACTTGTTCCATTTTGCTCAAGCTGCTATTCTTGGATGCAATGACAGAGTCAGTGGCAATGCACCAGGTCTTCTTTTGTATTCTCTGTGGTGCTGGGGGGGTCATTTGGGTCACTCCTTTAGATGGGTGTGGGATTCAGAGCTGACATGAGACTGAAATGATACATCTGGTGTGCAATAGATAGTGAGTAGATATTATAAGGGTTAGTCAGCATTAGTTTCATGTCATTGAATCTGTTTATTGTATTGTTTCTCTGTTGGTGTAAATGTGCTCAGCTATAAACTAAACAGAGTCATAATAATATGCTGCAATTTTAATTTTTATAACATCATGTCTGATTTACGTTGTAGCTGCCATATTTACAGCAATGATGGCAGTAAATCTCAGCATGCCCAGTTTACTCACCCATAGGTTTCATTCAAGGGAAAAAAGTCACTATGTGGCAGGCTGAGCCGTGTGTAGCCATGCATGGGCATTTATTGTGAAAATGGGTATCCCTTGAATGATTACAGGATGGATTATAAGGCTTATACGTTATGAGGGTAAGTCTTTTGTGTGGATGCAATGAAGCGTGAAGCATTAAAAATATCCCAACACGAAGGACTCAATCATCCCAGACTTCCCATATCACTGAGCTGGGAGCTCTGGTAACTGGGGCACGGGGGTGGCATTAGCCTCAGCCCAGTTGTGAATACGCCAGGCTTTGAAACAAACACACACATCATATAGACACACACACACACACACCAAATTTAGAATGAAAAATGAATTCCCATCAGAATGCAGCCAGCACAGATCTTAAATGAAGCTGTTGATCTTCTGCCTCTTGAAATGAATATACAGTATCATTATTTATACAACTCATCTCTCCAGGTATCTTCAGACTTCTGCCTCACAATAGTTATCTTCATTACCATGTGTAAAATGCACAAGCATCCTTTGAAAACAGTGTAAAAAAAAGGATAAATCTGAAAAAACTTAGTCTGACATCAACTTCACATAATGTCAATTCAAATTTGTTGAATGTAGTTTGTAGTCCAAATGTAATTTCCCACAACAGTGAATGCTAAATTGTTGATAAGTTATACAACAATATACAAGAAATCTGAGGCCAGTTATTGCCCAAAAACACTGTTACTTACCAGATATAAATTAAGTTAGAAAAACGTCACCCACAGTTCCTCAGTGGTCTGGCTGATGACTACCTGCTCAAGCTACCTGTCAAAGCCATGGCATGGACTGCGTCTTCTCATGGTTGCATCACTCACAATCATGGCTAAAAATACCCATTTTCAACACACTGAAGCAAATAATATTTTTATTTGAGAAACTGTTTTTGTAAAATGCAACCTGATTTCCCTGCATTTTTCTCCTAAATGATCTTTAAAAGCAAATTTGCACACTATCCTGCTTCTGTTTTTCTTATAGTGAAACACACACTAATCTGACATAATTCAGTTAAAGAGGTGCAAATGATCTATTATATGATGAACTTCACATTTTTTTTAGAAAAACTTCTTAGAATTACTTACTGGCATTGACAAAAAATGGTGATGTATGCATTCTAGAAAAAAATATATCTGGCCTATAAGGAGGACATCTTCTTTTCATCATCAATAATGTGATTCTGGCCTCAGAGAATAGAAATAAATGGGTCTTCTTTGCTTTTAAAATGATGCAAATGAGAAGGTCATAAAAGCCAAGCTTGTGATTGATTCATTATTGCTTATATTGACCGATCATCATTTTTATCTCAGTCGGCAGATTCCAAGTGGATGCTTTGGTCTATTTGCTTTAGAGATTAGGTTTTTAAGCTTTTAGTTGATCGATCCGGAGTTGTTCATTATTATACTGTTATGATTTTCTTCAGAGGATTAATTCATCTCAATGTAACCGCTTGATTTCAATAAATAGCTTATTTCAAATAATTTTCTTATGAATATACAGTATTTATATTTCTTTATAAACACTCTAAATCAATGTTTGCATGCTGCCAATGTAAAATAAAATTAGATGATTAGTGCAGGGGAACAGCAGAGCGGAAATCTACCTTTCAACTGAAAGAAACCTCCAGCAGAACCTGGCTCAGTATGGGTAGCCATCTGTCTCTGCCGGCTGTAGGTTAAGAGGACAGGAAAGAGACACAGATAAACACAGATGGTGTTGGCATTGACTATCTGCCAGGACAAAGAAAAAATACAAAGGTAGGAGCAATATTAGTGTAAATTTGCAACAAAAATGAAAAGGAAATGTTAGAGATGCTCAGACTTGCTCCTCCAGTAGGAGTTCAGGCATGGCCTGCTTGACATAGACAGAAGCTTCAACTTTTAGCAGCAGTTACACTAACATTGCTATCCAATTTTCCTTAAGAGCCAGTCTCCAGAGATTTGTGGTGAGGCTTTTACTTCCCAAGGCCTTCCGGGCTCAATTTGTACTTAACCCGTTTCAGCAGTGAAGCCTCACCACTAATAACTGGCCGCAGCATGGCTCTGATAGTGAAGCAGAACAGAAGCTGTAGATTTCAAGCCCAGTGGTTCTTCAGTTTAAGTTTAGTTTATTGGTCTTCAAAAAGATGCTTCATGGCTGTCATGAGATTTTGTTGAAATGCTCCCCTAAGTAGCTGTGTATGTATACTAAGGTAAAGTCTACTCTCTGTTCCTCTCTGACCATTTGCTCATTATAACAGCTTTTAACAGTAATAAACAAGAAGAAAATTGGGTTGAATGGTGTCTCATCTATCAACAGATGCTTACCTGTCGCTTCTGAGAATTGTACTGTTAGGGTCAATGCATAGGTTAGTCAAGCTTTCAGTAATGAGATCAGTCCACAGTCAGGGGTCATGATAGGTTGCTCGAACAAGCCAGGATGAAAGGAGGAGCACGGGAGGTATGCTGTATCTTGACACTCCTGGGACTGTGCTCTTCTACCTTTGACACTTCAGAAATCACAAGGTTACCGAAGCTGATTGAGAGCTTTTCCCTTTAACTTCTGTCATCTCATCCTGAGACTGATGAGGAAATGATCCACTGGGGTAACCATATACCAAGTGCAGCAGGGGCCCCTTCTTTCTGCACACATGGACGAGCACACTTGCTTTGTAGACACACTGATATCGGCCATCCTTGAAAGCATGTTTACCACCCACACTTCTTCAGCAGCTTACGCTAGTAACTTGAGGCACAAGGTAAACAGTAGCAGCCACTCTATGCATTGCTATGCATGTGCTGATCTTTAGCCCCACTAGCATTTGTTTGTGACCATCTGGCTCCTCTTTCTTATGAGGGATTAGCAGAGTCTGAGCTGCAGGGGGTAGTTTGGGGCCGATTAGAGCAGTGCTTGGTTGTGTGGTTGAGGATTGAGAGCACAGCTCCTTAGGAGAGCTTCATGCTAAAGCTTACATCATCAAAGCAAATGCCTTTGTGGTGTGACAACGTGTGACAAATAATGTAGTTCAGTAAGGAAAAGGCCCTGCTGTGCTGGCTCTTAAGCATACTTTAATAGTGTTTGTTGGACCAGCCTGATAGGGCCGTTGATGCTAAGTCCTACTGGTTTTAGCCTTGGGAGGGTTTCAGTGCTGGTGTTCTTGCTGGGAGACAGGATTTTATCGTCTTATCATGTCGAGCATTCTCAGTATGCATGACTTCCATTCTAAGCTCCTGGTTCAGTATTCCATGTCCTGCGCAACAAAATCACGTCGAAGTATTTATCTTTTGCTTTGGCATTTTTTAAAAAGCAGCACTTAAAAAAAAAAAACTGTCCTTAAAAATCTTGCTTGTAAAATGTTTGTAAAATTGCCCACAAACTATTTTCGTTTGTTGCAGATTAGTTGTGCAGCATCCTAATGGGTCTGCCCCAGCTGTGCCATTATCCTGCCATATCAAAAGCTTGCTTGATATTCATATTTAAAAGGAAAATGTCGGTTCAGCAGTCTTGTCCAAGTAATACAACAGGGGTACAATCAAAGCAATTCCTTTGTTGCAGCAGGCAAAAACAGATTTGTTCAGCATTCATGAATTCTTGCACTTACTTAAGGGATTGCTGCAGGATTTATAATCAGTTTAGTTCAAGGCACCGGCAATGTAGGTTTTCCATTGATTTAAATGCTAAATTTGACACTGAAATGTCAAGTGTATATATGTTTTGGTGGTACAAATGTACAGGGGGATTTTTACAAAACTGAGGTGTCTTTTGTGAGCTTTGGCATGAGTGTAGGTGTAAGCCGGCATGTAGTATTTTTGTCTTCATAAAAGTTTCACATAAGTTTCATCTAAGTCTAAGTCATAAGCTGTTCCTCTGCTTCCAACTAAGACAGGATTACCCCAGGGTTTCTAAGGGGCTGAAGCTATTTAGTTGTTTTTCATTTTCCACAAAAAAGAAAGTTTATATAGCCCCAAGAAAAAACACAGCTGATATAAACCTACCAGTGTAAGAGTAAAGAACATGTAAGTTTGGACATCACTGCACTCAGAATAATGATGTAAATTGACAACTGTATATCGAACGTCTAATGCACTATGTGATGAATATGTTTTTCAGATGGTGGCTTACCACTAATGATGTTTTCTCTCAAAATAAGAATATTAGCCAAGATTTAAGTACATTTATTTCACTGTCTCAGGACTCAGATTGGGCTGTGGGCTGCTGTTGTATGAAGTACGTAATCAACGCAGTACTCTATGGTGAAGATCACCCTATGGCTCTGCAATTGCAATTGAGTGTAATTGAAGCCCTCATCAACAGCTTGCTTTGTTGTTCTGGTATCACCAGAACCTCATAGAT